AGGCAAATAGGTAAGTATCTGGAGGAAGATGCACTAGAATGGTACGAAGGACAACGAGATCGATTAGCATACTGGGACGACGAGTACGATCCCGAATGGAGCTTTGTGCCGACGTTTATACAGCATTTTGAACAACGTCACAAATGGGAGAGGGAGCTGGAAACAATTAAACAAGGTGAGAACGAGACGGTAGTTGGATACGCCCGAAGGTTCACGAAGTTATTGGGAAAGCTTTACCCAAAGAACGACTACTCCAAAAGAGTGGCAAACTGGCTGCTGGTACTCGGGCTACGGGAGGACATCTTATTACAACCCACTATGATAGATTTTGTCACCCGAAGGAGGCACTTAAAGAAGCGATAAAAATCGAACGGGAGGCCAACAAGACAAAGGAATTGGACACTTGCATCAAAGGATTAGGAAAACAAATACAACAGATAGAGTCAAAACGTGACGTACTTGCTGACCCCGCCGAAGGAAACGTGACTAAACCAGAAGAGACACCAATGGGAATAAGGGACAAGGGTCGTAGGGACTCAAGAGAGAGAAACTATGATGCCGAGAATTGTCCAAGGAAGGACGATATTCTCCAAGGGTTGTCGAAGGTAAACAAAATGCAACTCCGCAAAGACGACGGAAAGCTGAGACGATCACCGGAAGACCTATGTATCGTGAACAACGAGACACACCGCGACGAAGAGTTACACCCCGACCTGCACAAAAGAGAAAAGATTTTGGATAAGTGTTCTAGTAAGTATACATCAATCGGATCCGTAAATAAAGCATCGGGACCTATTTGTGACGAAATCCCAACGACTAGCACTGCCGAGATCCTGAGGGAGAAAGATAATGAAATATCGAAAATAACAGACGAGACACTAAAACTTACCGACGAGACACCAACAATGCAAGAGGACACGGACATATACCTAGAAGAAATGACGGAAGAGTATTCCGATGATGATGAAGCCGTAGTGACTCAAAACAGTAAGGAAAACGACGACATAGATAAGACAGCGAGCAAACCGAAAGAAACCGATAGGTTAGTTGCGCGGAACCTAAAAATAAAGTACCATCAAGAGGGAACTCGAAACCGACCTGAAAGTATGTCACCATGTGATGAAGCGGAAGGAAGCCATGATGAAAGGATATGCCCCGATCCGCAAAGGGAAGTCGTGCTGGTGGATGACGATGCGGAAAAGGTATTGGTTGCCCATGATGATGAAAAACGGTACGTGAGCAATAACATAATGGATAAACTAGAGAAGGACGAAAGGAACGTAGAAAGCCAATATGGAAGCTTAAATCTAAACGAAATACCATCTGACTCGATCAACAATCGAAACACGGAAGAACGGCTAACCTACAACAACACAAATCAGTATGTGGATGGTGAAACGATGGATAAAATAAAGAACAAAAGAGACGTGGATAAAAGTCAATATGAAAGCTTGAGAAAATCACTTAACCTGTTTAACCATCACAACATGAGAAGACAACGAGATGCCGCAAACTATCGCGACCAGGGAGGAGGATACGACACTATACACAAGAAACCCGTCAACAACGAAACTGATCTTGGAGATGCTAAACATGTTATAAGAAAGATAGGTTTATTAATGAACCCTCGAATTTGTAAGCAGTGGCTATGAAAAAGGAGAAGAAAAGAACAAGAAATAACATACCCAGGAGAACGACCGACCGCCGCCGATTATCGTGATCAAGGAGGAGGACACGATACCGCGCGAAATGGTACGGAGCCTGGCAGAACCAGTGGAAGAAGATGGATGCTACGGGTGATAAAAAAAGTAGCTATGACGACATACCCGACGACGTTACCTGAAGAGACGCAAAGACGATATAATGCGACTACAATCAAACGGAACCGAAAGGTCATCAAACAAAGAAGGGAGAAGCGACGTCATCAACAGTTTATCACAGATCGCATCAGGCCATATCATTACCACAAACGAAAGCATCGACGACAAGACTGGGCAAGCAACAACATCAGAACGACACGTGCTATTGAGAGCGCCACGCCATACCGACGCCACATCACAAATCTAAAGATTATCCGCCTGAAAGATTGGAAGATCAGACACAAGTGGCAAGAAAAGACGACCGACGACCAACGACAACGACCCAGCGAATAAATAACCTATCGGCCATCACTAAACGAAACACGACGACGGACACACGCCTAGTGGAAATCTTAATGCGTGGGACGCATAAGATAGGTGTGGGGGAGTTGTGAGAGGGAGAATAAAAACAATAGTAACGCGATTAAGGTCACATGACCGACGATCGACCCAGGATCACGAGAAGAAAAGGAAGGTAAAAATAGATCTGAAACCGGTGCTTGTAACGAAATAATAATGATGTAATTAGTGTTAGATTAGATAATAGCCCAGAAAGTAGTAGAAATTCCCTTACTTTTCGTTATGTTTCTAAATTGTTCTTAAACTTTCCTTGTAAAAAAGTATAAAATGTTAGCATTTATTCTTTAAAATAAAGGAAGGCAGATAGTGGTGACAAAAAGAAAATTAATAAAGGGAAATTACTTACCTCGGTCAAATCAAACGCCTCGCCAAGATCATCCACTCCCACACTGTATAAATTGGCTGCAGTGCCTTCATATAATTAGATATTTATTTAATTTCGGGTAGCTGGATGCCATTTATAATTAGATATAGATTTTTGAATTTCTTTTTGTCTATATTCCTTGAATGGTTCTAAAAGAGCACAGGGGTCGTGCCCCATATAGGAGCCTTGCATTAAACTCTTTCTAGTAAAGAGAGACATATGTCGTGCTATTGATTATTGTACCTTACATTGTAAGTGAAAGTATAATAAATATAATAAAATGGGATAGATATTTGCTCTTTTCAATAAATAAATAAATAAATAAATTATCTAAGCAAGCTTTTATAATAGCAAGTAATTATTTTATAAAAATATTAATAATACTTTTATTAAATATATAATATAAAAAATTATATATTATCTCTAAAATTGTAGGGTATTTTTTTATAATGTTTAAAATTTTTTAACTAAAAAGTTGCTTTTTATTTATTTTTTTAAAGAATCAAAATATTTTTCTAAAAATTTATAT